AAAACAGCTCACCAAGATGCATGCCCGCTTCTCCTCTGCTTACGTCACAGAATAAAAGTCATAGTTCTTATGAGCCCTTTGAAACGGCCCTTCCCCTAACCTTCTTGCTAGTCAGTAAGCTCCTTAAGAGTAGAGATCTCCCTTTGTTTCGTTCACTCTTTTTTAAAAAAATAATTTACTTAATTTTATCTTATGTGCATTAGCATGAATGTGTCTGATCCCTTGGAAATAGACAGTTGTGAGCTGCCATGTGGATGCTGGGAATTGAACCCCGGTCCTTTGGAAGAGCAGGCAGTGCTCTTAACCACTGAACCATCTCTCCAGCCCTTTGTTCACTCTTGTAGCCAAAGCAACAAGATCTTAGTAATTGTTATGGAGCAGGGATGTACTTCATTGATAAAGCGCTTGCCTGGAATCCACCAACTGTGCTGGGAGCACAGTTCAGCCATAGAGTATTTGCCTAGCAAGCCCGAAGGCCCTGGATTCCATCTCCAGTATGACAAAAATAAATATATACATTTTAAAAATAATTAATTAAAAAAGAATAATTGCTACATGCAATGCATACGTCAAAACAGCTTTATCCATATTTCTTAAAAATGTCTTTCACTTGGCGGGGCATGGGGACACATGCTTGTAATCCCAAAACTTGGGGAGGTAGAGGGAGGCAGATCTTGAGGCCGGCCTGGTCTACAAAGCCAATCCAGGACAGCCAAGGCTACACAGAGAAACCCTGTCTCGTAAAAACCAACAAAAAAAGTTTTTTTTTTTAAAAAGTTATTTAATGAAGCTCCTCTCTCCACCTCAACTTAACTCCACCTTTTTCTCCTGTCCCAATAACACATTAATTAGCACTCACATACTGCTTACTATATGATACTTAGCTGTGTGCTGTTTCCAAAACCTGATTCGCTTAAGCTACATAATAACCTCATGAGCTCAGTGCTAATTGTTCCCACTTAAAGATGAAAATATGAGACACAGAAACATCACGAGGGTTGTGCTGTGCTGTGGGAGTCCAGCACAGACCATGACCTGGCCCTAATTAATCACAGTGCTAGCTGGGCACAGTCACTCAGGCCTGTCATTCCAGCTACCCCGAGGCTGAGGCAGAAGGATCAAAAGTTCAAGGCCAAGGGGTGCACATTTGATTCCTAGCACCCACGTGACAACTCACAGGGAATTCCATGCCCTCTTCTGGCCTTCGAGGGCACAGCAGATATATGCGATGCCAACATACTTGGTGGCAAAACATCCATACAAATAAAATAATAAAAATTAAAAAAAAAATTTAAGATTAAGGCCAGCCAGCATTACACATGAAGTTCAAGGCAAACACGAGCACCTTAGGAAGGCTCAAAAATTTAAAAGAGTTGGAAAGCTAGGCAAGATGGCCCGTGCCTGTAATCCTAGCACTTGGGAGATGCAGTCAAGTCACCCTCCGCTCTACAGTGAGTTCAAAGTGGGCCTGGGTTCCAAGAGGCGCTGTCTCAATTTCTCCAGGCCCCAAAACGGTGAGTGAGAGGCAGTTCAGCGGTAGAGAGCTTGTCTGGCATGCTTGAGGAGCTAGATTCAGGCGAAGAACAAGGGAAGCCTCACCACAGGCCCTTAACCCCGCCTCAAGGCAAATGCTAACAGCTTCAGTGGCATCCGGGCCAGGACTGTAGGCAGATTCCTAACCACACCGCGGCAGTCAGCCCCGCCCCACCAAGCCCCCAGGCCCCGCCCCGCCTCCGACCCAAGGCAGGTTCCTAGCTCCGCCCCCACAGGCCGGCTTCGCCCCGCCCTCTCCAGGCCACGCCCTCAGACCGCCATAGCCAAGAGTTCTTAACTCCACCCCCCGCCCCAGCCCCGCCCTGCCGTCGCCAGGCCACGCCCACCTTCCTGCAAGCTGAGGCTCCTGGCCGCAGGTGAGTCTTCTCGCAGCTCGCGGACGAAGATCCCTTCCTTGCCGCCGCCCGCTACGTTGAAGCCACTGACCCCGGTCTGCGCCTCGGTCTCCACGATAATCTCCACCAACTCTGCCCGTCTCAGCTCCTGCGGGGGGCGGCGAGGGGTCGCCATGGCGCTCCAGGACGGCTGCTCGCCCGGAGCTCGCCATGGCGTTCCTGTCCTAGCACCCGCGTTGGGTTAAACAGCTCTGCCCTCCCGCTCACTCTTCGGGAGAGTCGGGGTCCGGAAAGGCAAGGGGCGGGGCTGGAAGAAGAGGGGGTGAGTGGGCGGGGCAAAACCATGGGGCGGGTCGTCCTGGAGAGCGGGACTAGGAGTGCCAAAGAGGCGATTTGGAGAGGTTTATTACTTTTTCTTCCTTCCTTCCTTCCTTCCTTCCTTCCTTCCTTCCTTCCTTCCTT